CCCCCCCCCCCCCCCCCCCCACTGGGCAGTCTGGCTCAAATAGCATGAAGGCTTTGCACAGAGAAAACAGCATGCTATAATACGAATTGACTATTAACATCTAAAGAGCTTGAGAAACTTAGTAGTCAGTGAAATGTCTAGCTCTTGAATATAAGTTAGACTTAATATTACAGGAAATATTGGCTTTCAAAAACTGCAAAATGTCTGAGAGGCAAAAGCGTGAATGGGCCCATACATCAACTACCTTGATACACTACTACATTCTCAGAATGAACACTAAAAGACAGATATAAAATCAGCAAGGATAATTAAATTTGCAGAATGAAACTGGATTCAGTTTCGAACACCTCCGTCACAATAAGCTGTCAAAATATAAATGCTTTGCCTGTTTGTTTTTAAGATTTGGCAATCACAATGAATTTTAAATAACCTGCTAAATCATCGAGGTCTTTTTTGTCCTTTCCTGCTAGTTTTTTTACTTCTACAAGCCACTGTAAAGGGGTCCATCTTTCTCTCCAAGCTTGAAGAAGAATCTCCGTGTTGACCACCATTTTGAATTTTTACAGCTTAGTAGCCTGGCAGTTACTGATTGCTTTATATAAGAACAACTGTAACATACAGCACTGTAATCAAAGGGAACCAGTCTGCTTTGTCTTGTAGAAAACAATGAAAGCAAAAGCTGTAATATATTCGTAACCGGAAGTTGTGTTAAGTTGTTGTATTACCCAAGATGCTTAGAGAATAAAGTTGTTGTGTTGAGCAAGCCTCGTCAACTTGTGTTGTTATGTCACTGAGCCATACTTTTGCTAGTATGTTTCAAAAGCCACACAGACGCATCCCGAGATGATCAACTTTTCGGGATGTTGCATATTAAAGTGGAAGCTTTTCCCAGACGGCTCCTGCAGGTCCCCCTCGGTCCCATCTTTTACAGTAGACGTGCTTTACATGGATCCAGCATGCGTTTTCATGCATTCATGCATGTTGTCGACTCCTAGCTGTAGGTTAATTTTTCAATATGAAAAAGTTGTGTAAATTTCATTTGATCGCTGGAGCGATGGCCGTTTGCAAAATATTTTGGGACAGAAAACTCTTGGAAAAATCAAGGAGGTCAATTATCGTCCGATAGCAAAAGTTTTTTCATAGTACGGATGAAACGGAATCACATTACGCCACCTCCATATTTCTTGTATGGTGACCAATTAAGTCGAAAAGAGCAACCATAGCAGGCCGCTTTCCAAGCCTTCTTCGAACCACTGATTTCCTAAATCAGTCATATGTATATTATCCACATTGATTTTGTAAACACAAATGAATCAGAACCCCACCATCAAGCTAATTATAGGCAACTTATTATTTCGCCATATAAAGAAAAAAAAATAATAACAACAAATCATTTTATTCTTTATTTACGACCTGTAGTTTTATTAAACGCCCGTTTTAAAGTTTATGTGGCGTTAATTGACCAAAGTATTGTCTCATTTCCTCAATTTATTTATCAATAGAAACCACCTGCGTTAAGGGGTGGGCTCCAACAGGGCTCGGCATACATTAACATTAATAAGTACACCAGTACATGTGTACCTAAATCCTTTCACTGTTGCTCTCTGCGTGTTGCACTGGCAACGGAATCCTTGGAGAAAGCTTATAACACCCATTTAACACCTGTTTAGTCTGTGCTTCAGCTGTGAAGGCGACTACAAGATGAAAGGTTGTCAAAACGCACTAGAGACGCACTCATGCAATAAATTGAGCGTATTTCGTCGTGAAAAAATGCAACACATGCCTGGACAGGATTATTAGCACGCATAATGTTAAAAAATGTCCCAGAGGATTTATAATTGATACGGAGTAATAAAGAAATCAATTATCTATTGCTTTACTTACGAGAAACCGTTCTATTGTTGTCCTTTTCTGGCATGAAAAAATTTTTTAAAAAATTACAATTTGATTTCTCCCTCATTTAAATGCCATTAGTTCCGCGAACTTGTGACATCAATATGAGTTCTATTAGTTTGTAATTATCCTTGTTCTAATAACAAAATTGTTTGACAATACATTGATAATTGTAAGAAGAAATCACATGAGCTCACATGCTGGTCACTTCTGGGATGATTTGCATATGACTTAATGTTCCATGCATCATTAAGCGAAAAGTACAAACGGACATAGTTGTCTAATTTCTTTTGTGTTAGGGACCCTTCTCCAGTTTTTGGTCAAATGCATCGTTCTCTTTTTCGTTGTACTCGGTGCTTTCTATTTTTTTTTTTTTTTAGCAACGAGGAGTGAAACGCCCGTTTTGTGGTTGATGTTTGTCCCTATATTGAATTCTGCGTACATCCGACACCAGGCTGTCTCGGCAACAGAGTGTTTTTCACAAAACAAAAGACAATAATGCTACAACAAAAAGCTATGTATGTTAAAGCTGTTTTTAAATAGAAAAAAATCTTACCTTAAAGATATCGTGACTAATACTCATATAGGTACCTAGCGACGCCATCGAGTGCTTAAGTTATATTGCTCAAGGTATTTCATTTTGAAGCCCCATTCCGATATTTTTAATTTTTTTCTGTTGAAAATATTTCCATTGATTTGTGAGGTCAGTTACGAGTCGTCTGTCTGCTTGTTAAAAGCAAATAAATAAACAATACTTTAGGGTATAGTAATTAATTAGCGGAATCGCAACGTTTTCCGCCAAAAACTCCCAGCGGAGTCTGATTATTCCGAGACAACAGTAAGTAAATAAACCTCAGAAACAAATTTCGCATATTTTATAAGATGTTGCGTGATCACACAATGATACGATCATACATTTATTTCAATCGTGGGTCGGATATTCGTGATCTGCTTCATTATCCGGCAAACACTCCGTGGGAAAACGTACAAAAACGCACACTTGATAATCTAGGCGGCTTCTGCCAGACAAAAATATTGTTCAACAGTGCGCGACATAATTTCTATTTTTGATGACAAACAAAAGAAACACATCCACCAAAACAAAGAACTTTCATTTTCCCGCGCTCAGCCACCTGTTGCTCTGCCAAAAAGTGTCAGCCAATCAAATCCCCTCATTTGTTTTCTAGCCAATCATATTCTTGCACTGCCTTGGGATCAAATTTTCAAGGCAAGCACGTGGCTAAGGCGATGCAGCTGACGCAGGCCGCAGCTGATGTTTTGGTGGGTCGGAAACAATGGTACTTGTTATAATATGTTCTGTTAGCGATAAAAAGGCGCGAACCACGCGTCAGCCACGCGGACAACAATAGAGGTGGACAAAAATGTTTTTTGTTTAAGGCAAAGCGCCTAAAATGAAAGATTAGGCTCTTGGAAACCAAATTAATGAGGCTAATTTGAATTTCATGTCCTTTGAAAGAAGATCAGCTTTTATTTGCATGTCAGTTCAATTGACGAGGCTTTTATTTCCGTAGACCTGCCGTCCCACAGAATGGAAAATTCAACTGTGTTGTACGATTTTACAGATGAACAGGGAGCAAGCGAGGCTTTCTGCGCGATGAACAATTTTCGAATGGAGAACAATTTTTGCGACGTGATTATTTGTACGGAGGACGGGGAAGAATTCAACGTTCATCGGCTCGTTTTGGCCTCTGTAAGTGCGTATTTCCGAGCGATGTTTTTGACGGATATGAAAGAGAGCCACGAAACAAACATAACAATCCGAGGAGTGGAATCGCAAGCCATGAGATGTTTGATAGACTTTGCCTACACTTCATCTTTGAGAATCACGTTCTCCAACGTTCACTCCTTGCTTTCGGCCGCCAGCTTACTTCAGTTTCTGACCGTGGAAAACGCTTGTTATGATTTTCTCAGGAATAGCATTAATGTGAACAACAGCCTCGAAATCTGGAACTTGGCCGATTTACACGGGTGTACAGAACTGCTTGAGCTGGCTGAGAGCTTTATCCGCGCCAACTTTGTGGCGATTTTGAAACTCGCGGACTTCAATTCTCTCACGCTCAAGCAGCTGGAGACACTTTTCTGTCACGACAAACTCAATGTCCCGTGTGAAAGCATCGTGCTTTTCGGAGCGCTAGAATGGATTAAGCATGATTTAACCAATCGTCTCGCTGATCTTGAACAACTACTGACCCATGTCCGGTTTCCTCTAATGACGCGCAAATTTCTGATGGACACAGCCGCTAGAGAAGAGCTTATCATGAGTAGTCCGACGTGTCGACAGTTTGTTCTCGAGGCGATTGATTATCATCTTATCCCAGAGCGACGGACAAAGAACCGAATTCCGCGCGCGATCCCTCGGGACAGACTCAGTCGACTGTTGTATGTGGTCGGCGGTGAAGGTAGGAACTCTCTATGAGGTCGACAATACGAATAGAAAATATGCATAATGTGTGTATTTAGAGTATTCTACTGCAAGATTCAGTTCTAAAGCCAAGCAAATGAAAACAAGTCATCGGATCTGGAGATTATTAGTAAAGGTCAAACCACAGTTGCGCGCAATACAACAGGATTATAGCGCGCGGGTTCTTTTGATGGTATCAGCGGAAGCCTCTCTTGAGACCTCATATATCAAATTGGGCGATATATTTCAAGAGTCTCCTCAATCATACGATCACGAAAACACGAAAATTCCCAAACGGTCTGGCATTCAAACGAAGGTCTGGAATCGCGACTTCTCGTCGAGTTTCAGACTTTGTACCAGTTTACAGCCCTATGACAAGCAACTGGTGCGATCCCTACATGATAAGGTCAACATCCCTTAAATCAAGAAACGATCAATATTGCTTCAAACTAACGCCGAATGGGTAAACCTTTTTTTAGACCATTCGCCAGTAGACCAACTCAATCTTTTAAGTTTGTTTTTATCTGATAAATAATGCGGTCCAAGTTTACTTGAAATTGGATTAATTGTTTGCTCCAAGAATTACCAAAATTAAACATCCTGGATAAAACAAAAAACAAATGATTTATTTTCGACAATAAAAAATGTTTTTATAATTTATAATTGCTTTAAGGCTTAGAAACATGAAACGCGCCCACGCAAAATAATTTAAGCAATGACAGTGATGAAGCAAAAGACACGAAAACTCCGTAAGTACGTGAAATAAACCACAGAGTTGTATCCGCGAAGAAGAAAATAAATCGCCAAATCTGCCTGAGGGCAGGAGCTTTTGACGTTACTTAATGCGACGGTTGTAATAACAGTAAATTATCGAAAGCCTAGTCACCGCAATTTTCTTAATTGAATGACCCATGGGGGAGGTAAAACAAGTTTTACAAATTAACAATCATTCATTTTCCTCTATTTCAGTGGCAAATCTGTAAACTAGCTAAGCTTAGTGCTTGTATAGCTAAGTGCATGACCATTATAAATAAGATTTACATTTTCATTACACGCGCTCTTGAGCCTCTTTTAAGTTTTATTGGTTGATTTGTTCATTTAGTTTTGCTTTGTTTTTGTTTCTGATAGTGAACGATCAAAATGGATCGACCTCAATGTCCCTTTATCATCATTATTACTTTTCACCAAGGAGTTAATGAAACTGTAATATTTCGTAGAGAGAGAGAGAGAAATGATCCAAAATCGTCTTCCTTGCCTAACTAAATTAGCAGTATCATGGAATAGGACTTGTTACCTTTATTATATCGCACTCGTTATGAATATCTTGTCATCTGATTTAGAAAGCTTTTGACCGCACTCGACCTTAATAAAATTAGAATAATAAAAAATTTTCAACCTAAGCTATCGAAGCCAACACGTCTCACTCCTAACTAGTAATACCTCAATATTGTTAAACGTTATTTTGTTCTATTTTTAGTTATAAATTGCATCTTCGAATTCCATGATATTTATTTCTTGTATCATGTTTTGTTAATTTATCATATGCAAATCAACCTTCAGTTACTAAAGTTCAGAAACTTGGGGCTAAAGTCGCCAAGTTATATTACAGCATAGGTCCGCAATGTTTACATGCGCTAACCGCTTATGTGAACGGTCGCATTGTGTCTATCCTTTTGATCTTTTCCATTTCAGAAAACCGCAAAGTTTTAAATAACGTGGAGTACTTTGACTTCAACGAAAAGAAATGGCGAGTTATAGCACCCATGATTATTCCACGAAAGTTAGCTGGTTCTGCGATTCTTGACGGTCAGCTGTATGCCGTGGGAGGGATAAATAGGGAGTACGCTGACCTGGTGACGGTGGAGAGCTATAACCCCTGTGTAGGCCAGTGGACTTCAGTTACGTCACTCAATAAATGCAAAGGTATTCACCCAATATGAAAATGCGCTACATAATAATGTTCTGTTGGTTTTAAGACAGTATGACAGCTGTTTGCCTTAACTTTGGGTAAGTCTGCAAACATTTCAACCCTTCAGGCGCGGGCTGCGGCGTAATCTTACTGAAGCAAATGCTGCGAAGCACTAATCGCTTGTCATTGTTCGTTTCCGTAGGTGCTCTTGCATTATCGGTTCTAGAGGGATGGCTATATGCTGCTGGGGGTTCCCACAATGGGTCTGCGCTGAAGAGCGTTGAACGTTATGATCCCATCAAGAACGAATGGACCCAGGTGGCCAATATGCGCTTACCCAGAAGTCACTTTGGAATGGCATCTCTCCAAGGACGCCTTTTTGCTGTTGGGGGGTACTGTGGAATCTCGGAAATTGAGCATGTTGAGTGTTACGATCCAATGACCAACAAGTGGTCGGACATGAGCAGTATGAACAAGTCCCGAATGAACCACGCGGTAGTCACGTTCAGTGATCGTATCTACGTTATTGGAGGCAGTAACAGCGTTGGAATTCTAGACTCCATAGAGAAGTACAACCCAGATTTGAATCTCTGGCTGATTATCCGCAACACGATGGATCCGCGCAGTGGGGCGGGCGCAGCAGTGGTTTTAGGTGGGGAGGATGGAGCACAGGAGCTTTTCATCATCGGTGGACATGATAACCACAACAGAGACACGAACTCAGTTAAAAAGTTGAATCTGAAGTTTGCTGACTATTCTACAGCAAGTGCGCCATCCATGAACCATCCTCGAGTCTATGCCGCCGTAGCGTGTGCGTGATTTAGTACCTTATTTCCAGGGTCTCTCACCTTCCAACCACTTGCCGCCGCTTGAGATCTGGGGCATTTCCATCGCTAGAACCACCTGTCCGTCTTAGCTGGCGGGGCCTTGGCACGAGGAAAAGCTGTCGACTCTCTAGACATACGATTTGATTGGCTAGATTCTTGGAAGAAAATTTTCTTTTATTCAACGCTGGTTTATTTCTCAATCTTGTCCACTGGTTATTTCTGACCGAAACTGTTCGATTACAGCAGCTGCAGACCTTAACATAATTCAACAAACGGAGTTCTAAGCAGAAAATTCTAGCCAGAAGTTGCATTCACATGTTTCGTTATGGAGCCCTTCACTGAAAGCGTTAAATTAGTTAAAATTTTAATCCAAGAATCAGGAGTCTCCAGAGCCACGTTTTCCCCGTAGGCTAAGAGGGACAGTTGGTTCTGGAGCGAGGAATTGGACAGACCCTGGTAGCGGGCTCAAATCTCATTTAGTTGACAAAGAAAGAACATAACCCAATCACTATTTCTTGTAAGTATGGAATAAATGTACTAAATCTTAATTATGCGGTCATACATTACGATGGTAATTTGAAAACATGAGCCTTCATGGAGTGCTCTATGACACTTTGGACTCTTAGCTTTATATGCTTTATAATAGAGTCAAAGCGCACGAACGTTTCTCTTAGCCTGCTAACTGGTTCACGTTTGGGGAGCACACGTACGAGCGGCCCCTTTTCACCAGACTCTTCCTGTCGGACCGCTTCGCTCGCGGGCTCCTGCGTGTGACTCACAGACGAGAAGGCCACGTTTTGCACAGTCTCAAACTCAAATGAGCATCTTTTATAAACCAAAGGGGGCGCAGAATGTAGTCGATGAAGACTGATTTCAGGTTAAAGTTCTCAATCAGGCATCACTCAGTCTTTGCTCATAACAAAAATAGTTCACAAAGTATTGTATTTATTATTTTGTCAATTAAAGTTACCGATCATTAGGGAAAAATGACAAGAGTTTTCCGAAGGCCCTATACCTCACTGTGAGGCTCTGTTAATAGGGGTAGCCAGACACTAACAAGATCACTGATATTGACCTTGGCAATAAGAGTGGCCAGTAGCTATTTTCTCCTCAGTTACGGAGAAGATAGGCAATAATAATACCAACTTAGATATTGTGCTGATGAAGCATCAACATCAATTCACAGAACTACAATCATTACGGGCCACACATAGAAGTGACAGATTATGCTTTGAGCTAAGGATTGATATTTTGAAAAATAATACATTGAGTTGCAACTGGAAGAAAGAAGAGTTATTTATCAATTATAAATAAAAAATAAAATTCGCTATTAAATGCTGTCAGTTATTGTCAGACACAATAAATGGGTTAGGACCTTTATTGGTTAAAACTCACAAATTCAAGACTTCAAAATCTTGCAAAATTTAAGTAGAAAATAAAAACTAGCTTTCATAAGGCTTTGGGATACCCAAAGGCACACTACACTTAATTTAGCATTAGCTTCAACATATGACTTGGCGAGATCTAATGTGACGAGAATATCACTGCAGTTTATTTGTGAGAGACAAGCAATCAAACAAATAAGTTTAGTGTTAGCTTCAATATACGAATTGGTGAGATCTACAGTGTAAAAATATGAGAATATCACTGCTGCAGTTTATTGTGTGAGAGACAAACAATCAAACAAATAAATTTAGTGTTAGCTTCAATATACGAATTGGTAAGATCAAAATGTGACAAGAATATCACTGCAGTTTATTTTGTGAGAGACAAGCAATCAAACAAATAAAATCCGATAATTAATAAGGCAGAAGAAAGTGTTAACTGATGTGATAACTTCTGACAATTTATATAATTATGAGGAAGACTAAATAGATTCTCTGACATGATTATACATGCAAAGTACAGGTACAACTTAGTACAAATAGCCTCCCAAATCAAATGCAGATGCAGTAAGTAATATAACAATAATTGGTTATTTCTCTTAACTGAAGCCAGTGGAGAAACTATACATTGCAACATTGTCTGTATCAGTCATTAAATTAAGAATGAAACACCCCCTATTAATTCCCTTAAAAATGAAATGCATTCTCATCTCTCTCACTGGTGCTACACTTACTACCTTACTACTCTCCCAATATATTACAGATGTGTTCTCAGCTGTCAGGTGAATATCCAACTTCTGTAAGCAAGTTGAGTGTCACATGTATTACAATTCATCTGTGGTTGTCCATCACTTGTTTAGATCTGTTTTAACATCTTCCAGTTCCCTTGTTAGATTTGCTACTCGCTTTTTCCATGAATTTACTTGCGCTGAAAAGAAACACACCAGAAACATGAAACAAAAATAAAACAACAAACTAAGACACCACCAAGAAGTGAGATAGAAAAGCCATCCTCTAAGTTTGAAGTTAGTCACTGGCTTCATTTATTTTCTAAGCAAGACAGTTACAATGCAACACTCCACCCAGCAGTAGATATGAGTTCCAGAGAATTATTGGAACAACCTGACAAAAGATCTGGGGTGATCCAGTCTCTTTGTGCTACAGATTCTGGAGTGATGCAACAGTCCTGAAAAGACAACAAGCTCCTGCCTCAAAGTCTCAAAGGGGCTACAAGTGTGTCATAGTAATAATGTAACATGCAAGTATTTTTTTGCTTCGAACAAAGTTACCTTCAAATTGTGGAAAACATCTGAATAAATATTTACAAAGGTAAGTTCAATTTCCTGACACATAATTCAAGATATCAAGCTTACTTAATATCTAACATTTCAGTAAATGTCTGAAGATTGGTCAGGCCAGTTTACATATACTTGTCACTGTTAGGGCAGAAAGCTAGGGATTAGTAATGTCATGGACTTTACAAGTTTGTAGCACTAGACTCTTACTTTTCAGTTTGTCCCGTTGGGTTACCAGAAGTTTGGCTTCTGCCTCATTGCCAATGGCCTCTGTTTCCAAATTCCTGATCTGCTGCTCCATGGTCTCGATCTTGTCTTCAAAATACTCTTCACGCTTATCATATCGCCTGTGCTTGATTTCTAAATTGATGATCCTAACTGTGTCAGAATCAGAATCTTCACTCAACTTGCAGATCTTGGACTCTGCTGTATTCAATCTTGCCAAATGCTCACTCAGGTCAGACTTGATTGTATTGTATCTGACCTTTGCTTCAGCTAGGCGCTGCTCTGCCTCATCAGCTATTCTCTTTTTATCTCTGACCCTAGCTTCCAACACGACAAGTTGATCACCAACTTCAAATTCTTTAGATTCGAGATTCTTCCTGATTTCTTCACTCTCTTCTGCCATCTGCTCTTTAGCTTGGTGATGTTCTTGTTTATCCTGGATAATTTTGTAGCTGTTGTTCAAATCCTCTTTTCTTTCCTTGATCCTTTGTTTGAGTGCCTCTACTTCCTCGTCTGCCAGGTCAGCCCTTTCTTTTGCTTGCCTTAGGTGACGTATCAAATACTTATGCCTATTCTCTGCCCGCTCAGTGTCCTCAATTGTTTCCTTGACTTTTCTTTTGAGTGCATCCATGATGAGGGTGCAATAGAAAATTACAGTTAAGTGACACCTGCAAGCACTAGATTGACAACACGCTGGGAAATCTGTAAGAACAATAAAGAGAAAACAATGTCAAAACAGAGAACAGCAAAAAATCCAAGACAACCTTCAATCTTTACAAAAATGTAATTAGGGGGCAACAATAGCCTGACACTCCATATCCTTTATCAATTGAATACATAGGGGCCAGAGGCAACAGCAACTATTTTGCGATTAAAAGACACACAGAGACAATTAGGCATGATTTTCATCCAATCTAAGTGGAGATAATAGAACTTGGAGTGAACAATCAGCAAAATGCTTGCTCTTTTCCTAAGGCTTATTTCTGTTTTGTTGCATCCCTCAACAACCCAAGAAAGTCTTAAAATAGAATCTTTTTTAATTATTCACAGTTACTTTACTTTGACAAAGGGAGCAAAAGAGTTGCCATAAATTCAGTATTTTATATATTTTTAGGTCAGATACAAAGCCTTTTAAAGTTTTTTTTAACGTATTGTTTTAAATTTATTATACAGCCTTTTCAATCAAAACACTAAATTTATTTTGAGACTTAGTTCTAATAGTTCAGATCAGATATCAATCAGAATTGCATGCTTGAAGTTCATGGTGTCTCAGTCTGTCATCCTGGAAATTTTTCTTAACATTTTCAGTTGTGTAATAAACCTCTTCCTACACTTTTTTTAAGAAAAAAAAAATCAAGGACTTTCAGCAACCATAATCTGAAAATTCAAGGACCTCTTCTCGAGTGAATTTGACTCAAAAGCATGTTGACAATACTAAATCACTTTTAGTTACAAAACCTACTCCTTAGAAATACTGGTTGTGAAACCACGTTATTAAGACAAGTTATTAAGACACTTGATAAAATTTAACTGAACTTAATCCCAGCTTTCCTTAAGTATTTGTCAAGTACAATGTTCATCACTGAAATAATATATAGAGTTAGCTAAGCCTAAAAGCGGAGCTCCTGATTGCAATAACTGACCAAAAAGGAACAAGAGAATGATTTTTTTCTTAGATCAGAAAATCAAAAAATTATCAATTGTGAGCATGTAATTGTTCAGCATGTGGTTTTGCTATTTTTTCCAGTTAAATTTTAACAAATTATACCCAATAAGCCTAACCAAGATTGTAGAAATTATGGACACAATATATAAAGGACTTTCCAAGAGATGATTGTGCAAGGAATGTCAGAAGAAAAGTCAACAATGTGCCAGGGGTTAATTCACGTTGAAATTTTGCCTTTGCGAGTACTCCCTCCTTGTCCCCCAGACAAATAACCTGACTTGAGCCCGCGATCCAATCGGAAAACCAGTAACTGGTCAGAGGTCAACTTCAAAAAAAACACCCAACCTCGATGAACTCTAAACCTGAGCCTGCGATATGGTCTCGTGATACTGGTCAGTGGTAGCTTGTTGCGACAGCTGTCAATTAACGATAGCGTGGATGCCCAAAATGTAGCTATGGTAATGGTGTCACTCTCTTAGTTTTCAAGATATTGGTGTACGGACGTACGGACAGTCACGTGACAACCAAAATTTTTCAGAGCAATGGGTTACCAAATTTTCTAAGGTATGGGGCTCTGCTCGCATGCCTTCAGTGCGCAGGAGCTCTGTTATCACAAATCTTAGTTTCCGAGACTACAGGTGGCGAACCTCCACTGTTCCACTATCAATGCAAGATAAGATTAAAACAATATCACAGTTTTAAGACTTTAAACACAACGTTCAGCGTAAATGTCACAAAACGTAGTTCATGGGTGTCCTTCTACTGCTCAACATGATGACGAAGTGAAAAAATCGCTGTTCTTGATGAATGTTCCAGCAATATTCTTGATGTTTCTTCTCTTTTATATGGCCAACTAACGTGGATTCCCCCATAATGCTAAGATTGATGCTTTTCATACGCACAAAACAAAATGCTTTAAGGTATCAGTAAGGGGAAAATTTGCCATTTTGCATAATTTTACTTTTTTAAGTGGTTGTATAAATCTCAAGGTAATCTTTAAGATAAAAAAACTCCACAAAAAAGTATTATATCTGCCGCTAGTTATTACATGAGAAAGATTTTTTGCATATTAATTACTTAATTGAAAGTTGACAAGCTCTGTCAAGTGAATTAATTATCGAGGCAAGAAGCCACATGACATCAAAATCATACTGAGTTGACACGCAATTCGTTCGCCATAATCAATGCCAGATGTCTTCAAAGAAGAAAAAGCGATCTTGCCTGTTTTCATCGGCTAAAGGAAGGCCAAAGAAGGCAAAAAACACTTTCAACAAAGAGTGGGCCGCTAAATTAGCAGAAAGGGTCGTTTTTCAATCAAGAAAAATTGCTAGATAAACTCAACAACGATCGCGATCACGAAGCCAGCGAGCAAGCTGAAATTAGTGCAAGCCGCACTAAAATACTGTTGCAAGAAACTGTCGAACCATAGGAGATTGACGAAGAGAAGTGGACGAAGTTGAAAGGCAGATCGATTGTACAAAATTAGAATCAGCAGTGCAACAATTTTTTCTTCTTACCCAGCTATTGTTATTGCTTCCAGCATCTTTGCCTTTGCATCAACATTGGTTGATGAAGTCCCGTTTATGATGTCCGCTCCCGCGTTTCCCTTTGTGCGCTTGCATTTTCTCGGGGACCTTCTACGGGCCTTCTGCATGTTAACTGACATGGTCATAATTCTGAAGAGTAGTCAACTGATACCTAAAATTTCGAATGCTAATATAGTAAATCAAAAGGTAACTTCACGTTTACTAACTTTGGAATTCTGACATCACACATGAAAAAGCGGTTTATTCACTGGTGAATAAGTTACCGCGCGCCGTCGTGGAAATTTGTACCTGTTCCATGTTAACTGTCACAGTCCTATTGTTAAACAGAAAGTTGGTTCCTCTGCGGTGTCTCTCTTGGTGTGATAATCTCATAGCACCTGAAAGCCGCCGAATTTTATTTTTCCTCTGTTTCTTGAGAGTAAAAAATAAGCAAGTTGTATGTGCATTTCGACTTCCAGGTAGGCAGCCCCTGGACCAAATTGGCTGAAATTCGAAGAGAATGTTGTCAGAACGATCGCCAACAAAACCGTGTCTGCGAATTCTGATCATTCTTTTCATTAAAAAGTTATGCCTTTTTGTCGTGGACAGTCCTATTTTTTTCCCTTTTCTAACTTTAAAATAATAACAAACGCATGTGCCAAAAATCTGAGACATGGTTTTTGAGGTCAATGTGTGAAGCGGACGCCATGTTAATCGTTTTCTCCCACCTAAATTTAGCGGGCGTATACCTTGATTTATGGGTTCGCGAAGCTTTGTAAACAGATCCACATTTCCGAAAGACGGTAAATTTTTACCGTTTTAAACAGGGTCATAATCTGTAGTTATTAAGCTTCCAATAAGTATACGGTTTATATGGGTTTTTGTTAAAACCACGGACGCTAGAGCAGACTGTGCGCAGATGGTCAAATGGGTTATATCGATACCTTAATAAATGAATTCTGGTTGTCTTTTCCCAGCCATGCCTTGTAATCTAAGTTCCTTCTTCAAACATTTTTGTACGTATCTCGATGTGCATGTGTATAAAAAAGCACGGACATTGGGTACCAGTAGGTTTGAATTTCCTCAAGTGACCCGTAACAAGAGTTTAATGTCAGGAACTCTATGGCAAAGGTGTCACGAATTTTAATTAACTGGATAAGAGAGAGCTTTTAAATTTTAAGCTGTCATTTAGTGAGTATTCAAGGACTTTGAAGGACCTGTATTTATACCAGCAAATTTCAAGTACTTTCAAGGCCTTTGAAAAGGACTCCTAAAATTCAAGGGGAGAAAACCGCAGGAAAATATGAGCCCTCAGTCTGCTGTGCTTGTTCCATACTGACAAGACCCCCCGCAATATTCATACACAACATTATTTTTTCACAGTTTGAAAAGTAAATCACTTTCTTATAGCAGGTTATGACATCATTTTCAGCTTGATCACATGCTCCTCTTTTAAAAATGATTTGGAATCAGTGTTTTCCATATCACCATTGGACCCTGAGAAAATTGTGTATTTCATAAATTGACCCCAGTGGAATCATTTAAATTCAAATTTGAGACCTATCAAAATTGAGTTTAACTGGATATCAGGCCTGTTTAAATCCGACTCTCTCTTGCTAGGTGTGGAAAATTTTAGGAATGCCCATTATGATACTGGGCGTGACACTTTCCTCTTCTAATTTAGTAATTCTCTAAAGCCAGAAGTATAATTTGGTACTTACACACGATTAAGGCAGCCTGGTTAAACGCTTGGGGTACTTAGCCTACGATAAGCATCCAATCCAGGGAAAGCAACTGCCATAAACCTCCGACAGTAACGACCTTCATTACTTTCAGAATTAGCAGCCTTTTGGGCTCACTAATTTCACAGGGTCACTGTCTTCGGGGAACAACGAACATTATACAAAGTTGTAACAACTGAGTTTTTTTAATGAAATATAAGATAGCAATTCAACACAAAACATTTTTCTCAGGTAAAATTTGTCACTGTTCCAGTTTCATGTTACTAACATGGGGTGACCTCTACATGTCTATAACGTGTTGTCTATTGTGGGCACTAGTTGTGCAAGTTTCTCCTGGAGTTCTTTTCTGAGCCCTTTAATCACCTTCCTTTTTTACAGTGACATCATCGAAACAAGGGATCTCTTTTCCTCCTCCTTAACCCTTTAAGCCCCGGAGAAAACCCTTATTTTTCTAAAATTATAACAGTTGATCGAAAGACCACAAGTAATATACTAGTTGAAAGGTATTGTTTCGGGTATGTCCTAAATCACCACAACAGACATACAAAATGTCACAAATTGAATTGAGGAGTCTACAAAGTAAAAAAATGAAAACATTCAAAAACACCTTATTCCTTGTGTATACTGGGTATTGTATCGGTGTATACCAATATTCAATAGGCTGTCAGTTTCGAACAACTTTATTCCATTTGGTAGCAGAAGCGTAGCGTATAATTGAAACAATGATCAGTCAATATAATACGTAGTATGTAGTTCGAAATCTGATGGCCTTCAGATAATGTCTTATCGCAGTTGTTTCTGTGTCAATTGGTCAGTGATACAGTAGATAAGGCAATTATCGTTTGTCACGTTATGCACGCGTAATTATGTGAAATTATAATCAATGACGATACACTCCCCCCGCC